AGGAAACTTCATCATGGTCAGATTCTGGTTAGGAAACCACTCAAACGGTATGGTATACGTTACTTAATTAGTTTCTTAAATATTAATCATGTGATACTGATTCATCGATGGAGTTCTACTCTTGTTACTTTGCATGCTTATTCAACTGCGACACAACAGATGCTGGGAATTTTGGTCCAAGTACCAACTGTTGTTGTATCCATCACAGTCTTATCTAACCTTATCTTCATCTCACAATATTATAATCAGAGCTTTTTTGTTTTCTTCACAATATTATGAAAGAAAATGGGCATATAAGATGCCATATAAAATGTTCCTTTCTCCTTTTGTTGCGTCAATTCCGCTCTCTAAAAGCTGATAGGCTGATGAAATGGCATGATATATAAGTTACATCATTGATAATGTAATATAAAGCATTGTTTTGCATTATTATATATTTGTTGGATTATCCACACAACAAAGAAACTTAGCTTGTAGTTAGGGGCGTTCAAAACTTCAGTTAACCAATAAAATCGATTAGCCGATTAATTATAAGTCTGGTCGGTTAACGGTTATGATTTTTTTTAAATTCGATTATCGGTTAATTCATTCGAAATCGGTTAGTTAATCGAATTAACCAAAAAATTTAAATATTTAATAAGTTATTTATATTATATATATATATATTAATAACTTTAAGAGTGTTTAAATTTTAGTTTTAACCGAATTAATCGATCGAATTAAACGAATTAACCGATTTAACCAAAAATATTAAATATTTAATATAAAATATATATTATTTAAAAATTCGGTTAACCGACCGATGAACCGAACTTTGTTTGGTTCCATTAATTATTTTCAAAAAAATAGTTAATTAAATTTTGAAAGTTCGGTTCGGTCGGTTAACCGAACCGAATGATTGAGTAGCCATGTCTTTGATAAAATTATTCATTAATGCAAGAAATGCGCTCCAATCTTTCCTAACTACAACCAATTAGGTATATTTTAACAGGGGAGAGAGTCTTCACTGCCACGCAAAGCCGCCTGCGCCTCTCATCGAGTCCAAATGGACAATATATATGTCAGAGTACAAAAGCAAATGATACGAAAGGAAGCTAACTTTAGAAAGCTTCACTCTCTTCAAGGAACACACAGAATTAAACATCACAATTAGGCTACAGGCAACTGGTCGATCAAAGGAAGGTTTACTTCACAACTGTGTAAGAAATACACAAAGATTTGATTCTAACAAGCCTTCTGAGAAGAGATCAGTGGGGCTGGTTACTATATCTAAAAAGAAGCTGAGCAACTGCTATGGCATTGGTGTTTAATAATCAAAAAAAGGTGGGGGCAGTGCCATGTTGTGATATTCCTTATTGCACTACATAATTCCCCTTGCAACTTCTTTATGGGACCAACTCTCTGCCAACCCCCAAAGCCCCTAAATCACTTCTAAGTAATACTTCTTTCTAGTTTCTTTTAAAAGCACCCAAAACCTCCCATGAAGCTAAAGAAATTGAATATCAGCTTTTTAGGCTGAACAAGACATGTCATTCACTTTTGTTTTTGTTGCATGTGGAAATAGACACATTTCCTCTTTCCCCCACTCTAGTATTTATACCCCACCACCCCTACTAAGATTGGATTTTTCCTTTTTGGTTATTATTTTTAATATATATTCTAGTGGAACATTAGTAAGATATAACGTTAAGGAATGAATTTATAAAATTTTAAGAAGGAAAATAAACGATGAATAGAAAATATAAAAGAAAATCTGAACTATATATTCTACAGCCCATCAACCCCTCCATCTCCATCCATCAATGTATTATACAGTAACCCTCAAGCATTTCTACACCATGGATTTTGTAGTCCCCCTAAGTAGACCACATTTAAGTCTATATATAAAATGACAAGATGAAAGAATATTGGCCATAGCTATGAGAATGGGTCATTTTCCAAAGCATGCATAAAGGTTATTCTTGTCTGCTCATTCGCTTGTTCAAAAGCCTTAACTATTACTTTCAGAAACTACGATGAAGCTGCCTTGCCATCCATCTTCTATTCAGCTTTATTAATTCATGCTCATACACGTTCCATGAAAGCCATCTACGTTACTCTCTCTCACTTTATTACTTTGTCTTTGTGAATGTGAGTTGTGGTGGGGACATAAGTTCATTTCTTTTGCTCTCATATATATATAATAGAAACAAAAGCTCGAATCTAAGGTATAAATTTAAAAGCAGTAAAGAAGTTTCCCAATTAACAAAATACAAAGGAAATGACTGGTGCTTTTAAAATGTGATTTCTGCTGATATATACATGTTGCTGAAAGATTCCAAATTCATAAACAAACAATATATATCGATGTTATTCTCTCATCCTTTTGATATGTAATTTATGTATCTAAATACAAAGAATCAAACAGAACTCCTTTATTAGGAGTATGATAACCACTTACAAACAAATCATGGTGCCTGACATACCAAGTTTTTATTACATGGAAAATTTTGAAAAATAAAATAAAAAAATCATATTCTTAAGTAATTTCGTCGGGGTAATATCTCATCGTCGCCTTAATATGATAGCAATATACAGAAAGGTAATTGAAATTAAATGTGGAAAGAGATTAAATTATTTAATTGAGAGAGATGCTCAAAGAAGCAAAATAAATATTGAAAAGAATACTTGACCTCATAAGTCAACATTGCACCAACTTTGATCTTCATGATTATTAAATAGCAATAGTAGGTGATTCTTTTGGACACTTGGTTTGCCGAGTATGGCACTGCTGTGCTGTCTCCTTGGACATTAATAACATAGTAGGGACAGAGCAACTAATTTTACTTCAAATAAGGGATTTGAATTTGACCATGCCATAAAAAAGCTATCATATGATGATGATTTACAGATATCTTTCTATTCAATTGGTACATGGATTATTTTAATTTAATTAAAGTGTCGAGTTTAAATTTTTAGGAATGTAATAATGTTGTATATTTGATAGTTGGTGACTTTGTACTCTTATCTTATTCTAGGTAGGGTGAGCAAAATTCGATTCAACTCGAAAAATTAATTTTTCGGATTCGGCTCAATTAGAAAAAACTCATCTCGGAATGACTTCGAATTGTAATTTCATGAACTCGACTCAATTCGGGAAAAAAAATTCAAGTTCAAATTGAGTTGTAAAATATAACTCAAATAAATTTTTAGTAAGTAGTGGATGAATTTTCAAGTTTGAGTCGAGTCCCTCAATTTTGTATGATATATGTATATCACATATGAAAAAAAATATATGTATTGTATTTTTTTTATCAAAAATCACACATGAATAGATTGTTATATATATGTATTGTATATGATCATAAAAACTCATTTAAATTGAAATCAAATTATTATAAATATTTATAATTAAATTTAGATAGAAACTCGAAAATTCGACTCGACTCAAATCAACTCAAAAAAATTTCATGTCAACTCCAAGTTGTAAAATAGGACTCGTCAACTCGAATAACTTGAAATTTTTTTACTCGACTTGATCGAACTCTCAACCCTAATTCTAGGAGATTATTTTTTAAGCGAAAAGATATTTACAATTTTAATGTCAATGTTAGGATTTAAATTCATACAAAATCCATTAATATGATCATTATTGATCACTTGATTAATTAATGAATCTCTCTTTAAGATTATTTGTCATTTATATATATATATATATATATATTATCGAGTAAATTATCATTTTTATTTATTAAAGAATTTAAAAAATTATTTCTAATTTGATAATATTTGAACTAAGGGTTTGTTTGTTTCACGTAAAATATTTTTCGAAAAATATTTTCCTCACTTTTCAGCGTTTGGTTGGAGTAAAACAGATTGGTCAATGTAAAATATTTTCCTGATAAACAGAATTTCATTTGCATTTACTAGAAAATGACTTACGGTTTAATTTTCCGTAAGTCATTTTTCAAACTTTTCACTTCAAAGCATAAATATTAAAATAATATTATTTTATAAATTTAATATTAATATGATATTTTAGTATCACTTTAATAAAAATATTAATTATTAACATATTTAAAATATATTTATTAATATTTTTAATAATATAATATAATAATAATATTATTACAATAATATACTCAATTATATTATAATAATATATTATACTATTATATTCTTATTTTAATAATATATAATAATTTATTAATAAAATTTATATTATTTCTTAATTTCTTAAAAATAATATTATTGAATTATTAATAATGAATACTTTTATTTATGTATTTAATATTAATATAATAGTCTAATAATATTATAAAAATTCCTTAAAATATATTTATTAATAATTTTGAAATATAATATAATATTTTTATTTTATAAAAGATATTCAATATAATTTATCATATTTTTATTTTAATAGAATATACTAGAGTTAATATTTTTATTTATAAAATTATAGAAATAATATTTTAATAATAATATCGGCATAAATAGTATTAAATAAATTATTCTAATATTTTTAAAATAATAATATTAATTTTTATAATAAATAATATTATTTATTATATTTTATATTTGCAATAAATAATTTCTAAAAATTTTATCAACTAGTGAAAAATGATTTACACATCTTTCAAACACCATAAAACATTTTCTAAAAAATATTTTTCATAAGATGTAATTCATTTGACGAAAAATGTTTTCTGAAAAATATTTTCAGTTAAACAAACGACCCCGAACATCTTTTCTCAAATTGGTAACTAAATATTTTTATTTAATAGACAATTAACATTTTCTGTTTATTATACAAGAAAGGTGGAGTAACAGCAATACAATTGACAACATATTTTCGTAATTTGCAGTATATTTCTTGTAAACAAAAACATAAATAGAAGGAAAGTAAACAAGTGTCCTGAAATAATCAAATAATATAAGAAGAAACATAAAGATGATAGTCCATAATAACGATAATGGTGATGATTTTGATGCGGATGTTTCGCTTTTGCTGCTTCTCTCCTTGAGTCCTTGTATTTGTCAGGAGAGAGCAGCCTTTTCCCCTGCTTTCTTTTTTTGCTTTTTTACCTTGCCTTTCATTTTTATTCTTTCTTTCCAACGACTTGAACTATGTATATTGTACAGGTAAATGAGCCTTGAGAGTAAGGAAACAGGCTTCCACCCCCCATTAAACAAAAACAAAGTAAAAGAACAAACTACATATAGTACTTATATATATATATGGTGTTCTGGATTCTTTCTCTCTCCTTTGAAAGGACTTTTACCAGAGGTAGGCTTGGTTTTAATTATTTTTGGAAGGTTTGTCTACAACTTTAATTTTTAGCCTTGGTGGTCAGGTTCAGGCCAGAAAGAAGAGTACTTCAACCATTCAGCCTCGTGTGGGTTCGTGATTGGTGACTCCTGCCAAAAAAATATCAAAACCAAACTTAGGGTTAGGGTTCCACCTATAAACAACAAACGAAGAAGCTGCCTTTTTTGTCCACTCCACAACCGACTAATCTCATGACGCAACGTATGATAAAACGCCTTTCATGCTGCTACTAAGTGCATGAGTGCTGTTGATGTTGCAGCTAAATTTTATAATTCGTTATATAATTATTTTTAAGATATTTTATAAGTTCATGATTTTACGTATGTTGATGAATTTTATTACTGCATATTTATGTCTTATATAATGCATGATATAATTCGACTGTTTTCTTATAACTTTTAAAATAATTAGGTTTCTTTCTTTTTCATTCTCTGCTCTTTATAACAACATACATTCAAAGATAAACCAAAGGACAAGGGAAAGTAGTATATTTATTTTGGAGGCTATACGGTTTCACATTCTTCAATAAATTGATGTACTTTAATTATAGGAATTCTTTTTCTTTATTATATATAATTATATGATTTCATATTAAATATAAAAGAATTCTTTAATGCTTTAGCTGTATTAAGCCAATCTTAATTTTATATGCTTAAGAAGAAGATATGAAAAAAAGATAGCCTTAACGTATTGATTTCTACTGAATCTTAAGAAAGTGGAAAAGGAAACTTAAGCTATTGTTGATGTCAAAAAGCAGATAGTTATGTTTAATTTTCTACGAAGAAAAGCTATGCACTCACTTTAAACCCATTTTATTTATAGTATGATAGCTACCTTCATTTCTTTAAGAATGCTGAATGCCAAGTATTTAATTCTGATTCAAAACGAAAAAAAGAAAAAGAAAAGAACTATGAGTTCTATCTTTCTTGTTCCTTAAGAATAATGTAGCTGAAGAATTTAGGTTTTTACTTTTACATTTCTTGTTATCTTTTTTTTAATTAATTAATTATTTATATTTCACCTTGCTTAGTTGGTAGTATGACAAACAAGGGTCTAATAGTTGATACTCACTTCTTTGATATCAGTTGAAGTGCAGCCCATTATTAGTTCTTCCAAACCTGTTGCAGACCTTCCTCCCAGTTTATGATTTTGCTGCTAATGCATTTATTCAATTCAACAAATTATAAGTAAACGATCAAAATAATTTCTCCATCTAAATCATATGTTTTCACAAGAACTGAAATGTTTAAAAACACTTCATTGTTCCAGAATCAAGATCTTAAATGAAGAATGTATGATCGAGTCACGCTTCATCTTAATAAGAGCTGTAGTTAATACATAAGTTCAGCATGATCACGATAGAAAAAACTGGGATTTGAGAAAAAGAAAGGTAATACCACTAAAAATTGTGGTTTCTCGAGAGAAAAGTTATTGATTGCACTATTAATGGTGGATCATTCTATGGGGAGAAATAATTAATGGAGTAATGAAGATGATGATGATATGTATTACCTGGAAACTTTCGTTTGGAAGCAATATTCTGGAGACATGAAAGGAGTCCTCATCAAGGATGATGGAGGTGTGGTGGAGGGGAGGTGGCGAGATGATTGTGGAAATTGGATGTGAAGGCCTGCTAATATGGAACGCCGTCGTAGGAATCTGCTGCTGCTGGTGGTGATGATGAAAAAGATGATGATCATGGACCATATGATCTGTCTCCCGGTGATGCTCCGGTATCCCTTGAGTCGGTGTTTTCCTTGCTGCCGAAGCTTCTCCAATCCCCACCTGCAATAGACGAACCCCCCACCATAAAATTACAGTTTGCTAGCTAGTCCATTTTCAAACACAAAACATATTCCAACGTCGCTTTAATTCCTTTTTCGATAGTTTTACTCTCATTTCCAAATAATTGTCCTACTGTTGAGTGAAAAAAAAGGGAATAGTTAGCTCAGAAAGATAGTCAAGTGAGGACCATATAGATTTTTGTTCTTTATACGACGTATATACAAGCAACCTTAAAACTTTAAGATTTATTCCTTCAAATTTTATTTTATGTAAGATAAGCAAACTTTGATGTTTGAACTTTAATATGCTTTCATGAAAATATTGGATTTATTCATAAAACTTACAAGGTACAAACGGCAATGTCATTTTATGCTTCGATTTGGTGGTTGTAGAAGAGAGAACGCATTGAATATAAATGATGGAAGAATATACCTCGTCGAAGTTTTTACTAAACGGAGAGAAACTGAGAAGTTGATCAGGTTTCAAGTGTTGGATATCCAAGGCACCGGCTAGGCTTGATAAAGCAACCGCGGCGGCAACCCCGGCTCCCGAAACTTCCTCTCTAAGAGGGATTAATTGTTCCTTTGAGGAACAATTTCGAACGCCGCTATCTCGCCGGTTGTTGGGGTCGAAGACAACAACCTTGGTTCCTTCAACAGCTGCTGCAGCAGTTCGATCAGACCAGTTGCACTGCCTCGGTTGAGTCTGATAAAATATCTTGGACACCACAAACTCCCCTTCCTTCTCTTCCTCGTGTTGACCCAGATGATATTGGTGCATGACCCAATTAGTCTTTTCGGGTTTTCGGTTCTTCCCAAAATTTGTGTAGAGAACCAGGATTTTCTTGCAACCTTTTTGTTTGCCACTCACCATGACCGGCCTTGTCTTGCCGGTTTTGTGCCACCTTGTTTCTCCACCTTGCAAGTCACATTCAGTTTGAATTTTCCTTCTTTTTCTTGTCCCGGTGGTATAAGCCTTTGATGGTCTATGGAAGAAATGCCTGCTTAATCCATCTCTGGTCACACCTGCAAGAAATAAATAGAAAACATTAGCCAAAAATCGAAATTAGGTTCACTTAGGTGCAACAAACCAGAATTCATGGGGGTTGACAATATGGTAAGACCTAATAACATTGAATAATAATGGAGGAAAATTTCAAACAAGATAAAGTTGAAGGATTTTAAGACAACCTGGGAGTTTCTCAGGATGGGTGTAACAAATTCCATCTTCTCCTTCAATTGTTGGGATGAACTCATCAATCAAATTGTGAGACCTCTTGTCTTTAGCTTCCACTTTTGCTTCCAGGTGTTCTATCAGTTCTTGATCTATTGGATCAAATTTCACTCCCGCTGGTAGACCTAACCAGTTCTGCAACATTTTTTCATTATTCAGTTCAAATTAAAGCACAAAAAATAATAATAAAGGGAAGACTAAACAAAATAAAGAGAAAAAGAAGAAATCTTTAATCTTATACTCTTCGAATATAGTTATGTTTTCCATTAAAGAAACAACTTGACCATCCAAAAAAAAAACCCTTGATTAGAATACATGTATATTTCTGGTATTTTTAACCCTTGATTCTTCTCTTGTCAAACTCTTGCTGTTGAAGCCCAGAATATTATGAGATGAATCCGTACCGGTTTTCCTTCGAGTTTGTAACCGCAACCGGGACAGTGCATGGATCCACACAGCTGATGCTCTTCGAGTTTTGCATCGATGAGATCGGAGCTGCTGATGGAGCTCAGATTACTCTTATTCATTGCTTCTTGTTATTCTCCCCCCCCCCCTTTCGTTTCTGTCGATAGATGCTACCTTCGTTGCCTCAAACTCTTGAAATCTTCAATGAAATAACCAACCTTGTATAGCAGCCGGCTACTCATATCCCAGTTAGCTTCTCTATATAACACAAACCATAACCCCGTTTTAAATCTGATATCCCTGGGGGGGGGGGAGAAAAAAGGCAAAGGGCATAAACTGAAGAATTTGATAAATATGTATATGTATGAGTCCTAGTTTTCCTCAACCGATGTAATATCCATAGTAAAAGAACGCATCAAAGAGGGGGAAGAAGCAGAAGAACATACCAAAAGCCTCTATATGAACTCAGCAAGGGGGAAAAGAAGAAGAAGAAGAATCCGTATGTCATATATATATATATATAAGTACACGTGTTTATTATCCTCGGTGCTATCTTTGTGAGAAACTATTATCTAAACTAATCACCCAAAAAAAGAAAAAATTATGCAAAACCCAGATGAGAAATCTGCTCCAAAAGAAGAAAACTCTATTTTTTTTCTCACGAGGAAGAAGTACTGGCACTAACAACGAAAAGGAAAGAGTACTTAGAGGGGGAGAGAGCGAGAGAAGAAAAGAGGAAAAATATAACAGTGAGATTTAGATATAAACCTTCTTTAACCATATAGAAGTCACCAGAAATTCCTCACTTATCTTTACCTTAACTGAAGCCTCCAAGTGGGAAAAAAGAAAGTTGGCCTTCATAAACTCAACACACTGGCTTTAAAGCCTTCGCAAATTCAAGTACAACTCATGTGGCTAGGCGGTTCAAGAGAGAGAAGCAAAGAAAACATGGCAAAAGTAACATACACATACACATACACATACACATACACATACACATACACATACACATACACATACACATACACATACACATACACATACACATACACATACACATACACATACACATACACATACACATACACATACACATACACATACACATACACATACACATACACATACACATACACATACACATACACATACACATACACATACACATACACATACACATACACATACACATACACATACACATACACATACACATACACATACACACATACACATACACATACACATACACATACACATACACATACACATACACATACACATACACATACACATACACATACACATACACATACACATACACATACACATACATATACATACACATACACATACACATACACATACACATACACATACACATACACATACACATACACACATACACATACACATACACATACACATACACATACACATACACATACACATACACATACACATACACATACACATACACATACACATACACATACACATACACACATACACATACACATACACATACACATACACATACACATACACATACACATACACATACACATACACATACACATACACATACACATACACATACACACATACACATACACATACACATACACATACACATACACATACACATACACATACACATACACATACACATACACATACACATACACATACACATACACATACACATACACATACACATACACATACACATACACATACACATACACATACACATACACATACACATACACATACACATACACATACACATACACATACACATACACATACACATACACATACACATACACATACACATACACATACACATACACATACACATACACATACACATACACATACACATACACATACACATACACATACACATACACATACACATACACATACACATACACATACACATACACATACACATACACATACACATACACATACACATACACATACACATACACATACACATACACATACACATACACATACACATACACATACACATACACATACACATACACACATACACATACACATACACATACACATACACATACACATACACATACACATACACATACACATACATACACATACACATACACATACACATACACATACACATACACATACATACACATACACATACACATACACATACACATACACATACACATACATACACATACACATACACATACACATACACATACACATACACATACACATACACATACACATACACATACACATACACATACACATACACATACACATACACATACACATACACATACACATACACATACACATACACATACACATACACATACACATACACATACACATACACATACACATACACATACACATACACATACACATACACATACACATACACATACACATACACATACACATACACATACACATACACATACACATACACATACACATACACATACACATACACATACACATACACATACACATACACATACACATACACATACACATACACATACACATACACATACACATACACATACACATACACATACACATACACATACACATACACATACACATACACATACACATACACATACACATACACATACACACACATACACATACACATACACATACACATACACATACACATACACATACACATACACATACACATACACATACACATACACATACACATACACATACACATACACATACACATACACATACACATACACATACACATACACATACACATACACATACACATACACATACACATACACATACACATACACATACACATACACATACACATACACATACACATACATATACATACACATACACATACACATACACATACACATACACATACACATACACATACACATACACATACATACACATACACATACACATACACATACACATACACATACACATACACATACACATACACATACACATACACATACACATACACATACACATACACATACACATACACATACACATACACATACACATACACATACACATACACATACACATACACATACACATACACATACACATACACATACACATACACATACACATACACATACATACACATACACATACACATACACATACACATACACATACACATACACATACACATACACATACACATACACATACACATACACATACACATACATACACATACACATACACATACACATACACATACACATACACATACACATACACATACACATACACATACACATACACATACACATACACATACACATACACATACACATACACATACACATACACATACACATACACATACACATACACATACACATACACATACACATACACATACACATACACATACACATACACATACACATACACATACACATACACATACACATACACATACACATACACATACACATACACATACACATACACATACACATACACATACACATACACATACACATACACATACACATACACATACACATACACATACACATACACATACACATACACATACACATACACATACACATACATAAAAGAAAAATACAACCAGTTGTCTGTATTTTCTTTCTGGGTTAATGTCTCCCACACCTTTGTTTTAGAGGGCTTGACTGCTAAAGCGAAAAAGAGAAGAAACGGCCTTCACAGCTGCGGTACACATACAAAAGCATGGCAACCCAATCTGTACTATAACTAAAATATATAATCTTTCTTTTTTTATTTCAATTTTTTTTTAAAAAAAAGCTTATCAGATATGTAGACCTTTAAGCATGATATTCAAATTAAATCCATTGGCTAAGTTCTTGAATGGTTTATATAAAAAGTCATGAACTGAGAAATTCTCCCAGGCTACAAGATAAACAGAAAATACTAAACGTGGCAGTAGCAGAGTTTGAGTAATGAAGACGATATCTGAGGGGAAATTACAGTTCTTTGTTTAGTTTTTTTGCCATAGATTATGGATGTGGAAAGGGAAAGTTTTTAATTTCTTTTCTTTTTTTTTCTTTTTTTTTAGAAGGAGAGAAAGATGGAGAGATTATGGAAAAGGGGAAAAATGACAAGAACTCACATGGGCTTCGAGAGGGAGTGCTGCTGATCATGATTCTTTTGCCATGAATGTTGCAGAAAGAGAGATGCAAAGAGAATAGAAGAATTACGGGGTTGCTTGATATACAAGGCAAATGAACAGTATAGTAGATGGACCACCACTCCTTTTTATATTACCCCCGTATTTTATATACGAAAATAATTTAATCTTCCAATGGAAGAACTTGGGGTAAATTTTTACTCGTCTTGAAATAAATAGTTAAACTGTTTAAATAAGTCATAATTGGTATTTAATTATCTTTGTTTCTTCTATTAAAAAAATTATCTTTGTTATAAACATTAAAATTTCAAATAATGAACTCTAAAAAAATGTAGGGAAAAATATAAGATATCAGAAGTCACTAAATCATATTTAAACAATTGATTTGAATATTTAAAAATAAAAAAGTAAAATATCATTAAAATTTTAAATTATTATAAATGATCATCGTAATATTATGATAATTAAATATAAAAGTTAATGATTATTTTATAATAATTTAATAAATGTAATAATATTTAAATAATAATAATTTAATAATCTTTCTTTAAAAATGATTTAAAACACCAAAATGAACTTGGTATTGCAGTGAAAGACAGTTCGTTGTCAAGTAGTAGCAGATTTGGCAACTACATCTTTAACTTTCCCGAGGAAAATCTAAAGTGGGAAGTTTTACGGTGCGGCAGGCTTAAAAACGATTAAAATAAGGCGTTATCGATTTTGTTATCATTTAAATAATCAAATCGATAAAATTTACCTAAACTTTTCAGGTAATTACCTAAAATACTATGTTAATCCGGTCATTTTTTAAGCCTAATAATGTTTCCGGTATTTTTTTCGAAAATTCGGTAAAAAACACCCAATAATAACAAAACCGGTAGCGCCTAATAATGTTTCCGGTAATTTTTATCGGTTTTATTATTTAACACAATAACAAAACCGGTAACATTTATTTTAACCGTTTTTAATCTGCTGTACCGAAACTATCCCAAAGGGCAAACACTCGCACAAATAAATATAGTCCAAGTCAGGAAAATTTTGATGAGAATGATGAAGGAAGAAGCGGTTGCCATGATTGCTCCTTTCCCTTGCCTAATTTCTTCATTAATTATTATTGCAAGAATTGTGTAATTACATTGGACAGGGAAGAATATAATTCAACTTGCGAGCAACCTTTGATTGGGTTTCTCTTTTTGTCCCAAAGAGAATCAGATTGCTGCTCTTCAGATTATCCAATAACTTCGAGTTTCGACTTCATTTACATCACACCAAAAAAGGCAGACTTAAAGTATAATTCATGTATGAGAATATCTCCTACATGAGAATAATGGCTTTTATATTAGAAAATAATGCTTAATCAAAGTCAACTATGTCCTCTTTTAAAGTTATGAAGCAGAAAACATTTGCTTGTGTGTAAGAGTCAATTATATTAAAGTTTTTAGTGCATTTCTCATTGGCATTAACAAAATATCAATGAGAATGAAAGCACAAAAGTTTTGGGCTGGTACACACAATTTAGGCCACCAGTTCGATTGCTACGCTCGTCAAATATCACTTGTTGTTGGCCCATAATTCGCGTGCTATGTCAAAAGAAATTAAAGAAAAAGACACGTCGGTGCAGGGATAGAGCCATTAACGAAGGACCATGGGGGCCCTATGACTTATTTGCTCCTTTGGGCTTTTCGGTTTGAAAACTAGCACTTGTGATTTTTACTTATTCTACACGAAAAACAATGATTTGTTCTACTCAAAAAGGGAATTTAATTAAATACAAATATATATATAATTTTAATTATATTAAA